GCGTGTTTAAACGAGTTAATTGTTAATCACTTAAAATTATTATAATAATAACATCAATAAATGATGACCAATAGCATCAGTAAAGTTATTTTCCCAACAGTAACTATTTTTTCAAGTTTGTTTTCTTCATATATTTTCTCCTGTTTTTATTTTATTTTATTTTGTTTTCTATTTTTTTAACTGGGAGCTGATCAGAGATAAATAAATGCACTATAGCAAGCAGTATCTTCAAATGTAAAAAAATACATAAGTAAAAAACTGACACATTCTCATAAAATAGTTTTATTAAAATAAATTATATTCTGTCAACAATTAACATGAATCTTGCCATGACACAGGTCTCTACAGGGGATGAAGGCATTATGTATTATTAATTACTATTAATTGGTTATTCTACAATTGATTGAACTACAAATGAGAAAACACTACAATCGAAAAAACACTATGAATTGATAAACTAATCCAAAAACTGCAAGAACACAAGGCTGTAAAAGCGGGTTAGTATGAGTTCCTGTTCGGCGTGATGATGTTTAAAAGGGTCATCGGATGCAAAATTCACTTTTGTTGTTGTTTGAAGTGTGTGTACACATCCATCTTATAATGATAAAAATCCACCAAGAGTTTTTTTTAAATCCCTATTTTAAAATCCCCTCTCTCAAATCAGGCTGTTCTGAGATTCCTGTCAGAATGACGTAGTTCTGCACAGGCCGCTCCCACCATAGTTGATTGACAAGTCTGTCTTATCTTAAGACCCGCCCTGAGTGAGCTGAGAGCTGTCCGCCATTGTGTCGACTCCGGTGCAGGGGAAGACAAGAATGTCTCCGATTAAGTGATTGAGGTGTTTTGTTGCTAGACGTAATAATGAACATAGCAGTCGTCATTTACTCCCGACATCTGAGCCGCTGAAGATGCAGAGGTTACGTTACTTTCGTTTTTGAATGTCTAAATGTGTTTAAGTTCGCGCGAATCATTCATGATCCAGCTTCATTTACAGAAGAAGTGAGTATAAGGTTTTTTTTTATGAATCTTTGCAAATCGCCTTTCCTAATATGTGCTAGTTAGCAAGTTTCGCGGCTGAAGTTTACAGTCTGCTCGTCACCCCACGGAAAAGAGGGGCGGGGTCAGCTGAGCTCATTAGCATTTAAAGCAACACGGACTAGAACGGCGTGCTGAAAACAGAGCTGATTTTGACAGGGTAAAAAGGGTGTTACACTGAGAAATTTTAACCAAAGTAGATTATAGACTTTTCATTAGGACCCTAAAGAATCATATCAACTTGTGGTAAATGGGCATCCAAAAGCAACACGGACTAGAACGGCGTGCTGAAAACAGAGCTGATTTTGACAGGGTAAAAAGGGTGTTACATTGAGAAATTTTAACCAAAGTAGATTATAGACTTTTCATTAGGACCCTAAAGAATCATATCAACTTGTGGAAAATGGGCATCCGATGACTCCTTTAATGTCTCCGACAGTGCCTGTAGTCCCATTTAGCAACTTGTTAGCAACCGTCTTTTTTAAGAAACATAACAGCTTTAAAAAAATCACGAGTAGGGTGTAACTGGTGTGTTTTATGTCATAGAATAAAACGTGAAAATATCTTGAGCGTGTGTGAACCATGGACCTTATTTAAGGGATTTAACCAAAATCCCATTCAAAAAACCCATTGACTCTGGGACTATGGAACCGGAAGTGCTAAAATGCTAACTCGCTTCCAGGTTTTCAACATCATAGTTTCACCACTCACTGTCATTACAGGAAACAATCTCAGTGATAATTGAAGCATGGAATGCAGAGTCCTCCAATGATCAGCCAACAGGTATGGCCTATTTTTGCGTTTTATTTAAATACCAATTTTTAAAATTTATTCATTATGATTTATTTGCAGAGAATCTGAACAATATGATTGGCCACTTCGCCACAAAAATAAATCTTACTATTGGTCAGAAATGGTCCCAGGATGTGCATTTCGGAGAGCAAAGGGAGCTACGCTTTTCCTACCGTACAGTGTGTGATGAATTCTACTATGGCGATGACTGCTCTGATTTCTGCCGTTCACGGGATGACCCGTTCGGTCACTTTACCTGTGACGACGCTGGCAACAGAGTTTGCTTGCCTGGATGGAAAGGCGAATACTGTGCAGAGCGTAAGCACTTTTATATATATCTAGCGCGTAGCGTTAGTTCTGGCAGGTAACATTAGTCAAGCTCGTATCAGCTGACTCTCAGCTGATCCCCATCAACCTATGGGAATACAACACCTATCTAAGCATTCATATATAAGGTCCCTCAGTATTATCAGCAGTTTTCGCATTGCTCAATAGCTAATTATCCTCCTCCATCCCCAGCTCCTCCTCTGTCAGTCAGGATTCAGCCTTCTGATTCTCCTTTGAATCAGACTAATTCTAAAATGTGTACATAACGTTATTGAACTTTAACGATATCTGCAATACATTTATGTTGGTTTTGTTCTGTTTACCCTGGGGGGGGGTATCACTGCTCTCCCTGCTCTCATCATGCTAGGCTGCATGGATGCGCAGGGAGTTCTTGCCCAGATCAGAACCATACCGCCAATCCAAACTGTATGCTAATTGTCAATCATCTTTGACGATAGTGGTCCTGACAGAAATATAAATATATTATAAATTATATATATAAAACATTTTTTGCATCTTTTTGTATTTTTGAATATGATGCACATTTATTCTAATTTCCTGATTTCTCTCCCTCTCATTTTTAACAGCTATCTGCTTATCTGGATGTAGTGAGGAACATGGTTATTGTGAGGCCCCCGGTCAGTGCAAGTGCTTCCTCGGGTGGCAGGGCCCCCGCTGTGATGAGTGCTTACTTTACCCAGGGTGCCTACACGGCACCTGCAAACATCCCTGGCAGTGCATTTGTAAGGAGGGATGGGGTGGCCTGTTATGCAACATGGATCTTAATGTCTAAATTCATATATTCAGTGTTTTCCTGGTTAAGCATTTTAATCGGGGGAGAAACCACCTGAAAAAAAACAAACATGTTTTGAAATATGGTGTCCTGTTAACAACAGACAGTGTTTATGCCATTAAAAATTAATAATAAACAAATAAATAAATACAACTGAAAATTGTGTGCATCTTTATGCTCGTAAGGGCTAGACTGATATCAAGTGGACATTTCAACAGCAAATGTGCTTTAAAAACAGAGGAGTCATCATACCCTTCACAGCCCAAGCGTATTATGTTATCATGACTTCTGCTGGTAGATGCCTGAACTGACAGCAAAGAGCATCTTTCTCCATTGATAGTCATTCAATCAAAAATATCTCAGTAGTCTGACTGCATGTTTGCAAGCAACATATAGATCATGAATGTTTCACTTTTAATATACAAGATACTTTGCCAGTGACCTTTTTAAGGGCTCCTTTAAAGTGTGAAATGGCTTTGGATTGAGTGTGCTCCCATGGAGCCACTAGCATATCATGAATGTTTAGGAAATTAGAACTTCGTAAAAACAACTATTTCATTCTACGCAATAATTTACTACTCTCACAAAATAGTTTGACTTCAAATTACACCACACAGACACCTTTTGAGCAAATCCATTTTGTTTTATTAAGTTTTTTTTACTCATAACAGTAAGAGTCAATTCTAACAATAATAAATGTGCAGAAAACAAGTCTTTTAGAATGCAGCACAATATCTTACAGCAACTATAAGCAAAGGGCAGGTGTAAGATTCCATGGAGGGCGTTAAGCATCCAAGCAAGTGCTTTCAGCAGGCAGGACCACCTGTGGTTTCGCCGTCTGCAACGGCCGACCAGCTTTTAGGCATTGCGTTTAGTGAAAGAAAGTGACGCTTTGGTTTAATAGCTCTTGTGCAGCAATCTCAAATGAGTAAAACGCTGACCTCAGCGGAGGATTTGACAGTTACATTCATTTTGTTTTTGTTTTTTTGTTGTGTGTGTGGTTGGTGTCCTTTCCCTGCTGAAGGCACATTACCAAGTAACAAAGCAACTCTTCTGTTGTCGTGTGTTAAGTGGACATCTTTTGCTAGCATCTAGAGTCGGTTTGAAGGCCTTTTTAATAATTGTACTGTTCTTACGGTTATACTCAGATGGATTATCGATGAACGTGCCTCAATTCAGGCTCAGATATCGATCGAGATACTTGATTTACACTATGCTGTAACAATGATAGTTACGGTACTGTGAGAAATTAACTTATCTACGTACTTATCTATTATGAGAATTTGACTCTGTTCATTTTTATTCTTCATGCAGTTATTTATGTCCATCATATGACAAATACTGTGTTTTTGAAGGTGTAGTATCTATTTGTAAACAAAACCGAATTCCCCACAGTGGAAATTATGAATTTTTGAGACTCTCGGTATGGACTCTGCGCTTACAATCTAGTTTGACTAGAAGCCAGAACTAAAGATAGAGAAAACGACATACATTGAATTATTTTGCTGGATGTTTTGTGCCGTATCGGCTTTCGATTCGCTTTTCAATTCAAGGTGCATCTTTTGTAAACCTTCAGATAAATTTCGAGGAAAGAAAATCAAGGTGTGAATCACAAAAAAATATCTCTTGGTCTACTAACATGCCAGAACGGTGTTAAGTCAGACATGAAAATTAAAATTTTTCTACTAATCCAGCTTGAGAGTAAAAATGCCATCCTGTCTGACATAATGATGTAGTTCACTCAAATTCTACACATCATGTGGAAGGACATTCGGTTTCACCCCAGTAAAACCCTACCATCATGGACGACCAAATTCTAATCTTTATCATATATTCTATCCACCCCCCCCCCCCCCCCCAAAAAAAAAAACATAATAAAAGTCATTGTATGGAAAATGACTTTTTCAGAATTTTCCTTTTATGTTCTTTCAAACAAATAACCACATATGGGTCTGGAATGACATGAGGGTAAATGAGAGTAAATAATGACCAAAATTGGGTGAGGTTTTGCTTTAAATCAAACAATTACATTTAAATTTCTCAGACAGGCAGTTTCTGGAAAATTTTAATAAAAATCACTTACTGTTGTGGACTGGAACTACATCTGCGTCAAGTACTTGTGACTAGTCAGATGCTCTGCAGATATTATTGGAATCTGAAGATGAAGAGAGAGAGAGAGAGAGAAAATGCCCTTTATTTTTTACAAAAATCTTTTCAAAGACTAAATATTCTCCCTCACCCTCACTCCCTCCCCATGACAGTTAAGAAGAGAATGAGTCAAACACAACACAAATTAAGAAATGCCATTCAAGAAAATGATGAACCATTGCTTATTAGTATAAATCTTTCTCATGTGAGGCAGGGAGAAGTCAGTGGATTCCCATGCACATTCCATTTTTCCAACTTGTTGACCTTCACTTTTTATTTCAATAACTGAAGGTATTCGAAAAGCTGCTTTATAGTCTCTATTCATGTTTTAATCTATGGAAAACCTCTGTCATATTTGTAAACTGTCATTTAAAGGAGACTATTCTGTCATTGTAATGCTATTCTGTGGCCTGTAACGCTGGTTTGTATTGATTACATCATTAAGACGTGTGATAGCGTTCATATGAGCAGAATTAAAGCTGGTGGAAATTCTGTTTGTTTCTTGATCAGCAAAACAACAAAATGAAGCGGGGAAAAAGAAATGAATTATCCTTTGCAGCCGGCAAAGATGTACCTGAAGCAAAAGGCTAAGAAAAACTACCTCATACATACCAATTGCATGTATTCGTTGGTAGTCAGCTTTGATAGAGAAGAGTCCTCAAAATAAAAAGGACAAAAAAAACAATATTAAAATGCTATTTATAACTGTCAGATATAACAAGAAATGGTACTGGAATGGTGCTTTAATAGAAATTTCACATTTTTTCTTGCACTTCAATTACATTTTTACACCATTTTCACAGCGCTCAGGCAATTTCAGACTAATTTCTAGTGCATTTTGTGCTTAAAACCTGTACAGAAGATACTTCAAACAACTCAGTTTACTTATGCATAGCTCTGTCTTTATACTCCATTCTCAGCCAATGTATATACAGTGAGAAAATTCCAGGTCAAATAAACTTTCATTGTGAATCTGTTGTTTGAAGTACCACAAAAAGTGTACGACTTATAAAAAACCTGTGTAGGCCAACAAGGGGGAGAGATCACTTTAAAAGGACCCCCGGCACTCAGAAACATCCATCAGACAGAAAGAGAAAGGCAGAGAGAGTGTGTGTGTGTGTATGTGTGTGTGAGAGAGAGAATAGGCCATAAAAGAGCAAACCTGATTGGCTGATGCAGATGCGAAGGGAACACTTGAGGCAGCTGTGGTTGCTGCGGCTGGGGAAGCACCGTGCATCATGGGAACTTTTCAAAGGGAAAATGGTATAAGCACACATACAGGGAGTGTAGCCAACAGGTGCACAAACATGATGAGTGAGTGGACACAGAGGGGTATGGAAAGAAAAGTGAGCATTGAAGGTGATATCAGCAAACGGCAAACCAAAAGTGGTGGCAAGAGAGATTGTTCTAAAGAAGACATAAGGGCAAGTAAAGTGTCATTTGAGCCAACACATCAAGAGCTACAAGGAGAAGGAAACAAAGGCATGGCATCTCATAAACTTTGCTTTTAGGTTTCAGCTTCCATGTACTACTTTAACATTTAACCCTTCTCATATTTTCTGTTACTTGAACATCATGCTCAACACTGATTATCTGAGCTGCAGTGAAAAAGAGTATCAACGACAAAGTGTTAAATTCAGTGTGAGGAGTTAAAGGAATAGTTCACCCAAAAATGGAAATGTGGGCATTATTATTATTCACCTTCAGGTTATTCTAAAATTCCATACTTATATGTATGTTTGTATATACGTGTGTGTGTGTATGTGTGTGTGTGTAAATATACTTGTATTGTATGCACTATAATTATAATTATAATATATATACTGTATATGTATATATATATATATATGTATATGTATAAACACACACACACACACACAATTTCTATTATAAATATTACAAAAAGATATTAAAACATTGTCACACACACATATAAAATAATTGTTAATTAAATTTTTATATTAATAATGACCAAATATTAATTATATTTTACAATAGAACATTAATAAAAAAATGCATATACTGTGTATAAATTGTACTTATTTATATTATTATGATAAATTATATCATATATACTATTATTATACTATATATATTATTATTATAATAAATATCATTCAAAATGGATCAATATTTAATATTATATAATAGTGATCACATATTATGTATATATTGTATTTATAAATTTTAGATTGTTATTCTTTAAAAATCATTCAAATTTCATTCTCCATATTTAAACTTGCACAGTAAGATTACTCAAAAATTCTCCTTTTGTCTTCCATGAGGGTGAGTAAATGACAGAATTTTCATATTTTGGTGAACTACCTCTTTAAAAAGCCACCAAAACCCACAAAACGATACAAAAAATGCCATAATTACAACTCACAGTGAAAGAAACCATATTTGTGTGTATTTAAAGTCAACATGAAATCAAAATGTAATAATATACAATAATATAATTCTGCATCACGTATTGGTAGATGTTAATGCAAAGATTCTTTTTCAGCCGCCTCCTCTAACTTGCCACCATTCAGGTCAAATCAAGTTCTTCCTTTACATGTCTTCTTGAATATTCTGTTTCACTTAGACATATGTCATATTATTAAACAGTGCTGCAGATGCTGTTTCATGTTGACTTTAACTTTAAATCACAGATGCTTCATAAGTGAAGCGCTCACAGAGATGCCCACTTATCAATGCCAGTTTGTCGGCCATGTGGATTTTGAGGGCGTGAGAACAACTAAGAGGAGGAAGTCTAGAAACCTACCCATGCTCGCTGCAGGGGTCATGCACAATATTGAGCCTGCCCATCATGCATTGCAACAGGAAGTGGATTGGAAAGGGAGAAGAATCACAACAGCCCATCATAAGGTTGGTTAGAGTGAAGAAATCATAATTAAAGGAAGACAATAATCATTACAGTGATACAGCATGATGTCCATAAGAGACCGATTAGTTAAAACGTGAACTCAGGAAGGGAGCACATGTAATTGTGAGCTCACAGAAACTTGTGTATGTGTGACAGTCACCATAGCAGACGTTAGTATGACTGAGGGGCATCCCAGGGTTATTGGAAACTGTATTTCGCAGTGAAAGCCATGAGCTCAACTACAGGTATGTACTAGAGTAGAAATGTGATACAAAGATGAGGTGATACAGAGAAACTGACAGACAGCCCCCATTTCTTATTGCTCAGTTTACTGTGCATATATTACAAGATTCCCACGCCTTCTGACCAAATGGTTCTCTGTGACTTTTCCAGAAATTTGAGATTACTGGATATAGATTTTTAGAATTCATTTTGATGGAGTGACTACCTGCACCGGGTATAAACAACACTGCATCCTAGTAGTTTGATGGAACCAGACAAAAAATACCAATTAGAAGATATCTATCTAATGTGATTATTATAGTTTTATTATAACATAATATATTACAATAATATACATATTGTAATATTTAATAATATTATAACTTATTATAATATTATTAAATATTACAATATGTATATTATTGTAATATATTATACAATACTACACTCTTATACTATATTTATATGATATATACTATATTATAATATTTATATCATTATAATGGCAAAATGATGGGCATTTTATTATTACAATATATGTATACAAATAATATTTATAGAATATAAAGTGGTATAATATTTATACTATTTAAATTGTAAAACATACATATTTATCTTATTATAAGAATTTAGAATAAAGAATATTTATTATGTTATACATTATTACACTATATAAAATTGTAACTTCATTGTAAAGTATTATAATATTTATACTATATTAAAATATTATTATAATAAATTATACCATACTATACTATATTATGCATAAAATTATACTATGTATATATATACTATGATATATACTACATACTTATATATATAATATATTTTGCAATAGTATGTTACTAAACAAAAGGCAAACTACTCTCTGTTACTATTTAACATACAATTTTCCTTTTTTTTTTAAATGGCAGTGGGAACCCTGTCTCTTAAAAAAACAATAATAATAATAAATAAATATCCCATGTCTTTGTGCATCCCTTATGGTTTAGAAAGGTCAAAGGTGAGATCGAGGAGTGGTCAGGGTTGACGAGAAGCCCTACCTGACGGAATAAAGGCAGCTTGCTGCTGAAAATGCATGTTGGCCAGAGCCTGCTGGTACTGGAGCATGCCAGTACTGAACATGTTCGTGGCACCGTTGGCTTTCTCAAGAGCAGGTCGCTTTGGTAAAGGTGGCATGACACTGTGAGGAATTCCCTGCTCCGATAAGACCACAGGGAAGGGGGGTGGAGGAAATGGGGAACGGGTTGGGACATGTACAAGAGAGTAAAGACAGGAAAGGAACAAGAAAAAGACAGAATTATCATCAGAGGGCAAAACATCACAGGGCTCGATTCTGACAAACAAGCAAGCAAGCGGCAGCTAATACATGTCTACGGCACAAGCAAAAGCCAAAGAGCCAGTTTATCTCGCTATAAAACTAAAATTAGCAGTCAGCATCTGTGATATACATTATTAGTTTTACATCAGGAGAGTATTAATTTATTAACATTACAACATCCATACTGCTAACTCAATGCAAATGAAGCAAGCGTAGCACTACTCAAATGTTTTGCAGACAAAAGTGACGAAAATAACAAATAAAAAAATTTTAAAAAAGAAAAAAAAGGAAAATAAACTGCACTGCTCACTCCATGATAAGTGTGAGAAAGAGACTAGATCTTTTCTGTTGCTTTAATGGTGGAGCTTTAGTATTATATTCTGCTGCTACCCCTCCCATAGACACATGCACTACACAGAGATACTAAACATGCATACTGAACATAAATGCTGTATAGATATATAGAAGCCATGTCACTAAAGTTTAGAACATCTAGCCCTGTCCTTATGCCCTGGAATAACACGCGTGTGATGATCTGATTGCGGCAGACTTGCATATCTCTGTTCTCAGCTGCTCAATATGCTCGCCGCAGTCAGCTGATCACACGACATGGTAACATAGAACACAACAGAGGCATTAAATAAACAGATAACAAAAGGACTATGCTTGCAAATTATCTTTCTTCTGTTGTTAAGACACTACAATAAAGCAACATGCCAAGCAAAAAGGTGAAAGGTCATAGTACCAGGTCAAAGGTGGCTTCGAGGGGTCGCTTCAGTGATTTGACAGCCGACTGAGTCTTAATTAGCAGGCAGCGAGCACATGATGGCAATGGGCCAATGGGGTTCAAGCGCATTAACATAAACAGCAAGCAGAGGTGCATCATGGGGGCAGCAGTGCATTTTGGGTAGGTGAGAAAAAAAACAAATAAAAACAAATCATTGGAATGCAGTATATAAGGGGATATCAGGACTAAGGCATGCAGAAATACAGTCCATTCTGTTTTAGAAAACTCTGTACTGAGATTAAATGAACAAGTACATCAATTATGGTAACATTTACAGGGTTTCACTGACAGTAAACATTGCTGTAATACGTCAACGGTGGATAACATTGCGCTGGATTACAAACATACAATTACTGTGCAGAAATGTTACACAAAAATAACTATGACGCTGCCCAGTGCTCGACAAGATGAAGAAATTAAGTATTTGTGCAGTTTAAATGGTAATGGAAATTACTTATAGGTATATAACATCTTATACAGAGCTCTATCAAAAATGTAATGCATAAGAAACATTCATAAATCCTTAATTATTGTTAAAGACTGCTGAAATGTCAATGTTAACCTGAGATCAAATATGTAGCCACATAAGAAAGTTAATTCTACATTATTTCTACACAATTTCTAGAAATTCAACATGAAGTAGTCATAAATCCTTAAAGACTCCTGATTTTTTTTTTATTAAAACATTTTGTTTTTTTTAAAGGAATAGTTCAACCAAAAATTTTAATTAGCTGAAAATGTACTCACCTGCAGGCCAACCAAGATGTAGATGAGTTTGTTTCTTCATCAGAACAGAATGGATCCTCTGCAGTGAATGGGTGCCGTCAGAATGAGAGTCCAAACAGCAGATAAGAACAGTCACTTCTGGACAAAATACGAGTTCATAATAATGCTCCCTCCAGTGAAAAGGTCCATCCCCTGTTGTCCTCTCACATCAAAATCCACCAACATATTTGTGTAAAACTGATTAGGACTGTTCTTGCTTGTAAACAGTGCATATTTCTCTCCTGATTCAGATTTGATGACTTTTTCAATAGAGAAAGCAACATAATAGATAGAGGACTTGATTTGAATTTAAAACATCTTAATGATGTTTTTGTTTCTTTACAAACATGCAGCTTTTCACTTCACAAGACGTTAATTGATGGACTGGAGTGGTGTGGATTACTTGTGAATTATTGTCATGGTTTTATCGGCTGTTTGGACTCTCATTCTGACGGCACCCATTCACTGCAGAGGATCCATTGGTGAGCAAGTGATGTAATATAAAATGTCTCCAAATTTGTTCTGATGAAAAAACAAACTTATCTTCATCTTGGATGGCCTGAGGGTGAGTAAATATTTGGGTGAACTATTCCTTTAAATGCATCTTTTAAAAATGGCACATAAATGTAAATGTTAACCCGAGATCCAAGTATATACCATCTAAGAAAGTGTTAATTCCACATACAGTATGATGCATGAGAACAGCATTATATCACAATGTGTGTGTGATGTACAGTAGAGGACGTGCTCACCATGGAAGCGGCGGCCGTGGCCTGATTGACCTGGTGCTGGGCCGCTTTGATCTTGGCCTGCAGGTGTGCAGGAGGGTGGAAGTATTTGCACTTGTCTCTGGAGCAGCGGCCCTTTATGAAATCCATACACACCGTCACGGTGTTATCACTGGGGTCGATCATTGTGCTGTCGGCAGGGTGGGCAAACCTGCAGTCCGTCTCTCCACGAGAGCAGTTGCCACGCTGGTATTCACGACACACCTGAAAATACACAGAAATATAATGCATCGCTTTGCATATTGAGAGACCGCAAAGTTTTGTGTTCGTGTAAAAACAAACTTTTACTGAATTGTGCATTAATTAGCCAAAGTTTCATTAATGAAGAAACTAAAATTTAGCTTAATTATGTTCAGAATGGCATGCTACTATTGAAACAAAGTAGTATGCAGTATGTATAGTGTGCATAATATGTCAATTTTCTGTATGCATGGATACTGAAATGTGAAGGTTATATCTAATGTACATTGCGCAGAATACAATAGACACAATGCAACGCAAAAAACATTTTATTACTATTATTATTTGTCAAAAAGTTAAAACATTTTCAACAAAGGTGTATTAAAATATTGCTAAAATGTGCAGTATACAACCAGTACACTGCATGAAATATTGTACCTCACAATGCAATTCTATTTTATATAATTATATTAATAATATTAAAAAAACATATTGCCCATATTTTATATCACCCCACCTTATGAAATTTTACAAATATAAAAAAATACAATACATTATAATATAATTAATTATATTAATATAATAAATTAGATGAATAATAATACTAAAAAAACATACAACCTTACATTTCCAGAGTGATGATAGAAGTAATAGCAGCCTTAATTTATACTGCATTTCCCTTCTTGGCATATTATTTGATTATTAGATTAATTACATAAAAAATAAACCCATATTTATTCCCAAGAGGTGTGGCAGTTAAGCATACTACAGCTTAAAACACGTATTAGTGCATACTACATACTTTTGCACATAAGTATTTTCTTTAAAACAAAACAGAAGGCAGTATGTAGTACACACTGTGCCATTTGTAGCATTCTTTAATTCAGTACATAGCCAGTATTATAGAACTTTCTCAGATGGGGAGATGTGGTTTTTCATCCAGTGGTCAGCAGAGGGCAGCAGCCCCTTTATTTCTAACACATTACCCAGTATGGCTGTAACACACCTGCATGTATACGGAGATTAAGATTTAAATGTGTTTATGTGGGAAAGAAAGAGATATTGACATTGGCAGTGTGTCATATTGTCATGGCTCTCTGATGACCTCATACCTCCAGTCGGTCTGTTCTGAGGAGTTTCTGGGCGGAAGCAGCAGCAGCTGCGGCGTTGGCAGCTGACGGCATAGATGCCATCGCAGGGCTGCCCGCCATCAGCACAGGTGCGCTGGGCAGGATCTCTGCAGGCATCAGCCCAGGTGACACTGGGCCCAGGTACGGATTAAACGCAGCCGCGGCGGCTGCTGCAGCAGCTGCATTGGCGTTGGTTGCAAGGCTTGGCGTGACCGAAAACATAGGCTGAAACAGACAAAAATAATAATAAATGAAACTGATAGAGTGACACTGCTATAAATCGACTTTCTGTTTCTGTGACTTATGCAAATGATATAGTCAAGGGTCAAAAAAATAAGCATTGCTGTTTGATTATTATATCCACACTTTCAAAAAGTACCGTGGCAGTACATGATTTAGTGTTATTATTGAATTTGTTGCCATATTCATATACCATGGTATTATCATCATGGCACTGTCCCAAAAAAACATGGCATATTTTTTTCATTGTTTTTAATAAGTGCATGGTTACAATAGTTAATCATTTATAGCTGCATTCTTTCAACTTCGCCGAATTGCCAAACTCTTACGTCAGTCCAAAAGATGCTGAATAATTAGTATATGCATTTATCTCATCTATCGTCTATGGGTGGCAGGTCTTTCTCCGTTATAGCTCCTAAGCTATGGAACTCTTTGCCCCTGGCCCTTAGGACATTAACCAAACTGCATGAATATAAGTCTAAACTCAAATATTACCGTTCATGTGTTTCTTAAACTTTTTCCAAAACACCATAAACCACTCATAATGCTTCCTTGAGTACCATTAGTCATATGCACCTGACTTATGCTTGAACTGTCCACCTTTCTACGCTGTCAGTAATATAATGTTATGGTTTCTGTTTGTTTTTTTGACTGTATTGCTATATGCAGATGCAATCGCTCATGTCTTGGACTGGGCAAATGCCTACTGTCCATTCAATAATTATGTGTAAAATGATTGTTTGTTCCTTACTGTCATTATGAAGCGTCCTTGAGCTTGGGAAAGGCACTATATAAATTAAACATATTATTATTATTATTATTATAGCATTAGTACATATTAATATAACTACTTTTTCGGGCCATTGTATTTATATATATATATATATCATAATAAAAACCTAATTTAGCATATACTAATAAAAGTGACAAACTATAAATAAACTTTAATAAACATTAGACTAACATTTACAGAAAATACTTATGTATGGAAACGGCCTAATCTCTCTTGGGGTCATAAGAATGGAGCCTCACCATTGGCTGAAGCTGACTTCCAGGCATGATGGCATTGGCTAGCTGCATCTGCTGGGCGAGCATTGCCATGTTCTTCTGCTGGATCAGATTGTTACGGCCATTAATCTCCAGCTGCGTCTTCAGGTGAGGAGGAGGGTGCAGGTACTTGCAGTTCTCTCTGGAACAACGACCCTGAGAGAGACAAAGAGGGAGAGGGAGAAGAAGAAAAGAAAGAGGAAATGTATATTAAACCTCATGTTTATGTTACATAATAGTATTAGAAATTGTAATAATTTAATTAAAGTAAATAGTCATTTGTAATGTAATAAAAAAATCATAAAACATAATTAAATTAAACAAATTTAATTAAAAAAATTTAAGAATGACAATAAAAGCATGAATATTCTGTCATCACTAAAATTCAAGACATTTTATATTATTTGTTTATTATTATATTATTAAATTTTTTATGAGTTATTGGGCAAAATGAGTCATGAGGGTGAAAGATACGAGGGTGAGTGAATTAAGTAAGAATATTAATTTTGTGGGTGGACTAACCATTTACCTCTTATTTTCCCCTAAATTCCTTAAAATATGTTCGTCTGACTTACTCAAAACAGGACTATTAAAGTTAACTAAAACTAAAACCATAAAAAAATGTTACTTGAAATAACAAACTTTAACTGAAATAAAATAAGTCAACATATAGTTTAACTTGAAAAAAAAAAAAAAGAATTAAAAAATGAAAAAAAAACCCCACAACAGAATAACCAAAATTTCAACAAAAATTTAAATGAAAACTGAAAATGTAAAAATTGTAATACAAACTATAATAGTATCTTGATGTTGATATAAAACTGATTCAAAATCCACTGAGCAAATATTTTTGAAACTTTATCCCTGTTTTATTGCTAATTAGACACATACTTTTCACAAAAATGTATCTATTTTTTTTTAAAGTACCCAGCAAAACACACTGTAGAAAAGTACAGTAACACAACTCAGAATAAACACCTAGCATGGGTGTATACCAATCAGACAATGTTTGCATTTTGATATAAAACTGATTCAAAATCCACTGAGCAAATATTTTTGAAACTTTATCCCTGTTTTATTGCTAATTAGACACATACTTTTCACAAAAATTTATCTATTTTTTTTTTAAAGTACCCAGCAAAACACACTGTAGAAAAGTACAGTAACACAACTCAGAATAAACACCTAGCATGGGTGTATACCAATCAGACAATGTTTGCATTTAAAAAAAAATATTACATTAACACTGAATAGTGGCATGCAACTGGCATCTCCTGTTCTGGTTCATTTTCTCTGTTTAACAGTAGACAGAGGGAACACACTGTTCTCATTCCTGCTGACAGTATTGAGTGCACGGGAAAGCCCTCTGCTCTAATGCATCTGACCGCAACCCTGAAGCTGCTTTCAGCCCATGTGGAATCGGCCCTGACAGGCTGTCACTCAACTGATTAGCTGATTATCGATTAACGAGTCACATCAGTGCGAGAGAAATTCATCTGAAGTGTTTATGGATGTACAGTAACCCGTGTGCCCCCCATCCACACACACTCAGATGATGAGTGTCTTTATCTGGGCTGCGTAGGCGAGTATGTCAGGACATCGACCTTTCCAACACAGCCGCTCATTAACCTGCTCTCATCTGACGCCTGTCGTCATGTCTGTCTGCTGTGACCAAAATAAAGCCTTTTTGCCAATTTCTGTGGTTAAATGCTCAATTATCTCAGCAACCAGCACTTTAGGAGAGTGTTATGCAGTTGTGATCAGTGGATGGATTTGGATGACTACACAGGGCTAAAATGTTTCTGGAAAGTGAATCGACTTCTCTCCTAAACTCACAATGCCAAAACATGCTTTTATGCAAAGCACTTACAATTGCTAGAAGGGAATGCAGTTAACTGGAACTTGGTTTGCATAAACTAAAAAAACAAACACAAAACTACTTACATTTATAACTCCAATAATATATGTAAAATAATTATTATATAATTACATTCTGTGACTTAAATATTATTAAATTATTTTTAAACTATTAAAATAAATAATATTTTATTTGTGGCATCCCATAATACAGTATAAGTATATTTATTTATGTACTTTTGCTTCAAATTTTTGTTACAGCAGGAAAAAAAAAACTATAGCGTGTATTAATTTTGCACTAAAGTTCTGAATACAGCATTTTTTATGAATTCTTGTAAAATGACTGCAAAGTTTTTTTGTATTAATTAATAAAATAGAAGTAGATACATGGTTCAATAGACAATAAAATAAAAAATATAAAGTGTCTTTCAAAAGTTTCAGGTCAGTAAGATTTGATCATGTTTTTGAAAATCTCTTTGCTCACCAAGGCTCCGTTTACTTGATAAAAATACAGTGATATTGTGAAATATTATTACAATTCAACATAACTCTTTTCTATTGTTATATATTTTAAAATGTAATTTATTCCTGTGATGCAAAGCTGAATTTTCAGCATCATTAACAGTTGTGCTGCCGACTATTTTTGTGATTTTTTTAAGGATTCCTTAATGAATAGAAAGCAAAAAATCTTTTGTACCATTATAAATGTCTTTACTGTCACTTTTGATCAACTGAATGTGTTCTCGCTAAATAAAAGTATATCTGTCATGACAACTCTCGGCGGGATTGGCACAGTAATGTACATGACAATGTTAATGTATTTGGTATTGGCGGAATAGATCTGCTACGCTGCTGCTGCTGCGGCAGAGCAAGTACCGAGACTTGCTACTGCCAATACATCCACAACATGCTGCTGTGAATATGTAAGAAATATTGCTGCTGCAAATATAACATACATGAAATAACCCCCATATAGCATACATGAATCACCTCGTAGCAGATCTATACAGGTGGAGCTGGGGAAGGTGGAGGGTTTCTGAAGCAAGCTGCAACTACTATGGCAATCACTAGTCATATATTTGAATGTTGAGCAGCGAGCTCATTGGCTACCGACACAGGAGAGAACCAATCAGCTGTGCCATGTGATAATGATGTCATTAGGTCAGATTGAGTTAGACCTATCGGACTGCGCCATCTAGAGTTTCATGCCAGAACTCTGTATTAACTTCTTTAAACAAACAAAACACACACATACAAACAAAGGACCCAAAACTTTAAATTATAGCGTATATGTACATTACAATTCAGCTAGGACCTGTTAGACAAACATTGTGAGCGAGAGGTCAGAGAGGAAAATAGCAGGGAGTCAGATGTCCCTCAGCACTATCACACACACAAACACAACCCTAAATGTTAAACCCTCTCTGGGTTTGTCTTCCTCCACTATCATACGCTGACAGGCGTCATCAGTTCATCCTGGTCACTGATGATGTAAAACGTGAAGATCTCCACCAGCTGCAAATACTATTAATGAGGTCTTCCCAACACAAATAATAAATGATCTATTACAAATCTTGATTTGAGTAAGCACCTGTCCAACAATCACATTTACACAACACATTAGCAGTTTGGTAACATATGCACTCAGAATAACATGTTAGAGAATTAAGTTGTTTTTAGCCTTTTATGTCTAATGCAAACTAATTCACTTTGTAAAACTGGTCAGCGATAGAAGCTAAAGCAGACAGCAGAACCTTCTAGAAGTGTGACGTGAGTTTGAGCTCCTATCTATGCAGTATGTAGAAAATAAATAAAAGGCTCACATACTCGGCCGTGAGCCGGCCAATCAAAGAGTGTCTGGCTGGTATTCTGTGAGCTGAAGTTTCTACCATCTGTTTAAGACATTAGTGAAGCTGGCCTCTGTGAAACAACACTGGGCTATGAGAAGATGAAGACTCTCTCAAACCTCTTTGTCTTTAGTTCCTTCTGCATTTCTGCAAATTTGATTCATACAACTGAAATAAGAGTGACAAAGACTCAAAAAATTATAGTTTCCTAATTTATCAGACCCTTGCTAAACCCTGCCAAATGTTACTTACAAATACTTATTCAGCATTTGTTGCTATTATAAGTATTTTTTTTTTCCTGGTGTAAGTCTCATTTTACAGGAAACATCCAAAAATATTATAAACAATTAGAAGTTTTTAGTTATGATTATAACATTTAACTCTTTTAAAAAGTAAAACGTAAAATTAAAATGCTGTGTAATGTCACTTAATTTCAGCCCAAAGTTTTTTTTTATAAAATAAGAAAATGAAAATTAATTTAAGAAAATTAGGCTATTCAATATATCTTATAAAGATAGAAACATGTCAATAGAAAAATTTAAATCGCATCATATGACCCCTTTAATGTGCAACTACTGTTATTATACAAATTCATTATAATAATTATACATAATTTCATTATATCATTTTATTTAATAAATCTTTTAATAATGCTTTTAATTATTACAATTTCATTATATTAGTTTATATAATAAACCATTTTATAATGCTTTTATTTAATCATTACAATTAGTTTTTCATACATTTAAACAACAATCCACAAATCAGGTTTAAAATGCTACAAAATTGCTTTAAAAAATCTTTATTTAATAAATAATTTATTAATGCTTTTAATTATTATACAATTTGTTTTCCACATCTTTAGACAATGATCCACTAATAAACATCACCAACCAGTAAAAAATGGTATAAAAAAAATACTTTAATTTTATATTATTTTAATTAATTATATATTTTAATTAATTATACGTTATATATTATATAAAATTATATTTTAATTAAGTATATATTATTTTAATTAACTATATATTAAAAATTATATTTTATTTAATAAATAATTTAACAATGCTTTATTTAATCATTACAGTTTGTTTTCTGCACATTTAGACAATGACATATATACAGTACATATAATTAAAATGAAATGTTCTTTCATGAACATTCCTGCACTGACACACTTAATATTTGTCAGCACAATTAAACATTTGAAGGAAGTCAGATACAACTGTGAAGGTAAGCAATACAGATCTTTAAAGGATCTGTGTGTCTGTGCATGTTGAAGGGCGTGTGGGTGAGAATGTTCTGTGAAAGGTGTGACACGGCCCTACTGAGCATGTGCGAGAGATTCTAGTACTGTACGCTCACTGACCTGCTGAGAGCAAGAGGAAAAAAAGGAGGCAGGAGAGAATCAAGTTGAAGGATAAAAGAAAGATGTGTTTATAGGACGAGCTG